CGGCGGGGAGGGGGTGGGGGAGTCCGGAGGAAATCGCCAAGCCATTTTCCCACACTCTCAAGGCGCTTGGATAAGTAGTTTGGGGGGGAGGGAGGTGCAAAGGACGACATCCGGTCCCTCAAACTACCGTTCTAAGTTTTTGTCCATGACAAGAAGACTTCTTGGGACTGGCTGCCTCGTTCCCGGACCGGGGGGCGGGGGTGGGGGGCACACACATTTGGTTACCAAAGCAATGCACTGTTCCTGGCTGGTTAAGGACACAGATACGGGCGCTTGAGGAGACACTTAGTTAGCTGTGCAGTTAGTTCCAAGCCTTAAGGTCAGATTACGAAACAGACTTCTAAGTAGGCGTACCAGCATACACGAATTGCAGGTCGGGCCCGTAGTTACGTAGGGAGTGGGTAAGTTCTACGCGGCAGACAGACAGGCAGACATTAAAGAAAAGCGCACGAAGGAGACGGCAGTGGCGGAGTTAGCATGGGTGGACACATTGGTTTTCGTTCGCGCCTCTTCGAAGCGCACGTGCAGGGAAAACGGGACAATAACCTCCTGGAGGCGCAGATGCGGAAGCTGGAGAAGGAGCATCGAGAGCGACTTGAAGTTATCAGGAGGTCAGCCGGAAAGGCGGAGGCGACACTGCCGGGCATTAGGAGGCTCTCGTCTAAGGCGCAGAAACTGAGTGAACAGTAGGTGGATCCCTTTCAGCCGTTACCTCTGTTTGTGTTAACTGAACCGGTTACACTGAGCGAGAAAGCAGGTTAGGGATTACTTGTATGGCCACATGAACAAGACACAGAAATAGGAACGCCCCGCCTTAAGATGGTCATGCGTATAATTCCAGGAAAGGTACGTATTTCCCTGTTCAAACTAACCCTGACATGATGATAAGCCTGAGAGCAGTTCACAGAGTTTAATTACTCGTGTTTTAATCCCAGCTGGAAAATCTTTAGCCGACTCAGACCCGACGTTTAAAACACAACTGTGGTCATGATCGTTTATGTACCACGGGAAAAGGAACCACTCCTGACGGAGTTGACTTTAAGCTAAATTCCAGGGAAAGTAGGGTTAGGAGTGAGAATAAGGTTGTAGTTAGGGCTAGAGTTAGGGTTACGACACGTGAATAGTTATCCCTCCTAGAATTTATCGCAAAGCCACCTCTATGTAGAAGAGGAGGGGCGCTCCTATTACCGCGGTCGCCTAAAAAATCCCCATATCACAGTTGAAGGCTCCAAAGCGACAGGTAATACTCACTGTAGACAGATTGTATTGACGACAAAGACAAGGGGGAATGGAATGGCCATTCATGGCTTACTAGCGGTCGTCAGCCAAACAAACCCAGACCCGAGTGGTGGTCCACCCGAGCCTTGAGCTCGAGACCTTTTTAACCAGAGTCAAACGCCCTAAGCATTGAGCCACGAGCTCGTTGTCTCGCCGGTTTAGCTCAGAAGATATTGACACTCGCTGATGAGCGTTCGCCTGAACGCTAACTGAACTCACCTGTCCCACTTTGCCTTGGGCCTCGACAGAGGCCCTGACGGTCACTTGGGTCTGGGAATGGCTGGCTGACGACAGCTAATAAGCCAGAAATGGCCACTCCAGTCTCATTTTTCTTTGCCGGCGATACTATCCGCCTAGGCTACTAGCCGTTTTGGCTCTTAGGGCCTCAGTCAAGGCCCAAGGCAAAGGGGGGAAATATGACTTCCGTTAGGAGTCAGGTGAACGTTCATCAACGAATACTCATTGTATTTATGCTAAATCTCAATAACTAAAATGAAAACTTATGCTGAAAATCAGTTCGGTTATAAAATGAAACAAAATACGGCGACAAGGTTGGCACATGGTGGACAGCCTAAATGAAAATCCATGAGATTTAAAAGTATATAAATTTGTCTCGAAAATTACTTCGAGGGAGTACGTGAATTGCAACGCACAGCTGGAATTCACATACATTTTGCGGTTATACCTTAACAGATAATAACAAATTCAAGTATGGTGGCTTCGTGGCATATGAACGTAGCTTTACTGACCATTCACCTTACATTTATGTTGATATGCATCACACTTGTGGTAAAGGAGCGTTTTGATAACACTTAATGAACAGTTCATTAATTTCCTCAGAAATTCATTTCTGTTCTCGGTGTACATAAGTACATTTAAGGTCTCTAGGCATAGGCCAAATTTATAAGTGTATATTCGGGCTGAAACCCGTCATCCACTGCGTAATATACACCTGCTGCCAACGGACAGACTGTACCATATTCACAACCCAGGTACTAACTAAAAGGCTCAAGACACGTGTTTCGCCGGTATTCTGTCGCCGCTTGACATAATTGCGCGGGGTCCGGTTCATCAGTGGGTCCCCCAGCTATCTCTGTTTGCTTTCTGTTTGATATACCAGTTTTGAAAGTTCAGCATAGACCGAAATTGTAAGTGTATATTTGTATATAGGTGTACGCGTATCTGCTACTGTATATCCCCGATCTAATACCGACAAGACTGCGAGCTCGATAGCTCAATGTTTAAGGCATTTGCCTCTGACCGGAGAGACAGGAGTTCGAAACTCGAGTGTGGCAGCAATTTCAGCAGCAACACTGGAGTTGAGTATCACTATCTGATGACGGCAAATAAGCCAGAAATGGCCGTTGTAGTGTCCCATGTCTTTGTCGGTAATGTCCTTCTGCATATAGATCTATGCCTATAGACCGTAAATATAGTGAGGCATACCGCGAACAGAAATTAATTTCTAAGGAAATTAAAAAGCGAACTTTCAAAACCATCATATCAACCAGAAAGCAAACAAGGAATGTTGGGGGACCCCTCGCAGCTGTGTCAAGCAGCGGCAGAATCCCTGCGAAACACGTGTCTGAGCCTTTTAGCTAAAACCTGGACTGTGGGCATGGTAAATTACAACATCACTTAATAAAGAGCCGGCGTCAAGTAGTGTGTACAGGCAGTGGAAAATTCGGTTGTTTAAGGACACCAGTGCGATGAACATTCCTGCCTTATTAGCC